TTATGGCAAGAGCAATTTTTTTCTCTTTAAGTTTTCTTAACGAAACCATGAATATTCATATGTATTGGATTTTTACAATAGCAGCAAGTGGGAGCTTGCTGTAGAGATCAAATAACTGCATTCTCTTCAGTATTATACTTGATTTCAGTAACGATGATGTCTAGATCGCTTCAGTTGTTCTTTTTTATATCATGCGACTTCTTTTCAAGGCACTTTTAGACTGTTTCAAGGGCGCCAATAATTATGGGTACAATTGTTGCTTTCATGCTTTCCATACCATAATCTGTTAACCCCTTCCAAGCTAATTATTTTCAGACAATTTTTTTATTTGTTTTAAATATAGTAACTAAGAAACATCAAAATAATCAAGATCGACGTATAAACACGTCTATTGTTTTTTGAACGTTATGTCTTAGACGTGTTTATTCGTCCATGTCGGAAAAAGACAATCCCGGTAAAAACGAATATACACGTCTACGCCGGGCAAGGGGTTAATTAAACAAAAGCTGTTCCGCCAAGAAAACATCCCACTAATCATGATCTTGGAGACAAGCATGGTTTTAGGATCAAATCATCATTACCAATAATTCAGGGTACCCCAGGACGACCTTATGATAGTACCAGTTTATATTTTGTTTTGATTTTTGTAGTTTTTTTTTATCAAAGCCTAGAAATGTTAACGGAAAATGAAGTGTCATCATATATGTGTCCCTGTATTCACAAATTTTTGGTCAATGACCAAGAGTCCAGCTCCCATTCACCCGCCACCATCAAATGTGAAGCTATATTATTCTTTTTAAGCATTTCACCCCCAAGCAAGGCGGGAAGCCACTAGCACGCAAGGGGTTACAAAGAGTTGGAGTGAGAGCAAATAGGAGTGATAGAGGAAAGGATGAAGAGAAGGATAGGGGATAGATCAGGGCATCTGGAAACGTCGACTGACATTACATTTGAATAGTTGGAGATTATAGCTATCAGGGAAACAAGAAAAGAGGAGGGAGTTCCACAGGCGAGAACTGCGAAACGTGAAGTTATTGGAGTAGAAGAGACGGCTATCTTTAACATTTTCGTCAATGAAAGGGTGAGAGCGAGATGCCAGCCTAGTTGAACGCTTAAATTCATGAAGTCTGGGAACCAGCGAAAGCAGCTCTTTGGAGCTGTTACAATGAAAGTATTTGTAAAAAAAGACAGAGGGAGGCGACGGCACGTCTGTGAGAGAGCGACTGCAGACGAGATGCCAGATCAGGGCCAATTACATTTCATATCCGTCTCTGGATCTTATCAAGGACCTTAAGACAAACAGAAGAGGCTCTAGACCATATATGGCAGCAATACTCAATGCAAGGGCGATTTGTGGATTTGAAGGATCGACTCCGGCGAGAAAAATTTCCCTTGCGATGGACGAAGCTATTGACTCAATGTATTCGTTTCATCTCAGGTCAGCAGACAATGTGAGACCGAGCAGTCGCAAAGAGGTGCTCTCGTGGAGTTGAGCGTCAGATATTCTAATGAATCGTTGTTATAGTATTTGTAGTAATAGCGGTGGAAATGCAATGGAATCGATCCTGAAAATGGAAGCAGTCAACAGAGTCCAAATTCCGATTCAATCTACATGAGTTCACGTTGTCCTTATTCACCTGGGGAAAAAGCAAGTCCTCTTCCATTGTCAGATGACTTGATAGAACTCTCATCATTGGTATGTTTGGCCGAGAGACATTTGGCCGAACGGACATTTGGCCGACAGACATTTAACCGAACGGACACTTGCCATAGAGACATTTGGCCGAACGGACACTTGGTCGACAGACATTTAACCGAACGGACACTTGCCCTAGAGACATTTGGCCGAACGGACACTTGCCCTAGAGACATTTGGCCGAACGGACACTTGGCCGAGAGACATTTGGCCGACGGACACTTGGCCGACAGACATTTGGCCGAACGGACACTTGGCCGAGAAACATTTGGCCGACGGACACTTGGCCGACAGACATTTGGCCGAACGGACACTTGGCCGACAGACATTTAACCGAACGGACACTTGCCCTAGAGACATTTGGCCGAACGGACACTTGCCCTAGAGACATTTGGCCGAACAGACACTTGGCCAAGAGACATTTGGCCGACGGACACTTGGCCGATGGATATTTGACCGATGGAGATTTGGCCGAACGGACACTTGGCCGAACGGACACTTGGCCGACAGACATTTGGCCGAACGGACACTTGGCCGATGGATATTTGACCGATGGAAATTTGGCCGAACAGACACTTGGCCGACAGACATTTGGCCGAACGGACACTTGGCCGATGGATATTTGACCGATGGAGATTTGGCCGAACGGACACTTGGCCGACAGACATTTAACCGAACGGACACTTGCCCTAGAGACATTTGGCCGAACGGACACTTGACCGAGAGACATTTGGCCGACGGACACTTGGCCGACAGACATTTGGCCGACAGACATTTAACCGAACGGACACTTGCCCTAGAGAC